GATAGATAGATAGATAGAGACTTTATTTAAAGAGGGTGACACTTAATAGTATGAAGTACTGATGAACCTGTGGCCCTCATAAGGCCTGTTTATATGGTCTCTGGGTGGCAAGGCAAAATTATATTTATGTCCTATTATAGCAACTGCCATGCAAGTGTTTGTGTGGAAAGTTTTGAACTTGTCTTGTCTATAGTGGGATAATCCAGGTAGTAGGGTTACTCCTTCAGGGGGTACAGCATCTCTATTACTCAAGATTAATTATATAAACATTGCCCGAGGCTATGTAAAATTGGTAAGCATTCCAATAAAATCAAATAGTCTCAGGTTTTTCCAATCAGGTGAACAGATTTGAACAAATTAACCATAGTTATACTGTAAGATTCTGCATCTGGTTCATTGTAGTGAATAATGTAGTTCAACAGGAATAATTGGCAATCTAGAAAAGCAAAATAAACAAAATAAATAAACAGATTAGATTATTACAATAAACATATGTACAGTGACTTGGCATGTCTGATAAATTGACTTTTAAGAGCAAAAAAAAGTTGTTATTGCACAATAGCCAATGCACTAATCTAGGGGAATCACTATAAAGTATAACTTGACCAATCCTCCACCATTGGGTCAACATATAAGTTAAATAAAGTCTATTTGAGTACTTTAGAGTACTGTGGCTCTATGTCCTTGACTCTATCAGTCCATGTTGAATGTTGATGTTCATTTTCGTATCTGAATGCTGTTTATTCAATGTTTAAATTAACGCAACCCTTTGATACAACATTGCACTTGACAAAAATATATTGATAATTTGATATATATGAGCTAGAGAAAAAAAACTCGCATATAAAGTTGCCAACTTCCAGCTGGAGTTCAGGTCTACAGAATCGAATCTTCAGATTGCCAGAAATTCTCACTCCTTCGGGTGTCTTTTCTCATTTTCGCCGTTAAAAATGATATTCGTTCAATTCCCTTTTGCTAAGAAGACGCAGTGTGCCATTTATTTGCAAAATTCGTGCAGAAAATGAAGATCGATCGGTTACTGCGCTTAAAATCGCCGTTTTATTGCCAAAATTTTGCATTTTCCTATCTATGGCCTGATAAAAAATGTGCATGACACATGCCAGAGGGTCGCGCATGCGCATTAAAAAAGTGGGGACATGATTTGCCTCGAGTTCCGCCTCTGTATATCCTTACTCTGTGTCAGTGTAGTGCTGATAAGCAGGATGAAAGTAACTGCTATTTACAGTTACCCTTTGATGCCTCACGAATGTGGGACATCAAAACCATGCCAGAGCGCTCAAACTACAAGCAGTGAGCGTGCGCAATGGGTACGCAAGGAAACTGTGCTCTTACATAAATTCGACATTTTTACGATTTCTGAGTCTTGGCTGGATAATACTGTATCGGATACTGAACTTGATATTCTCGGCTATGCCCTTTATAGACAAGATCGCCAAATTTCTAAAGGCGGCGGTGTTTGTGTCTTTGTAAAGAACAACATTAAAGTATCACTGTTACCTGACATCTCGGCCATTAATAATGGATTTCAACAACTTTGGTTACAGGTTCAATTAAACAAATGCAAATCGCTGGTTTTGTGTGTTGCATATAGGCCACCAAACTCGCTTCCATCTCTGCTTACTGATTATTTTATGCCTAATGTAATCTTAGCAATGTCCAAATGCAAAGATTTGATTGTCCTGGGTGATCTAAACTGCGACATGTTACAGGAATCCAAACGCGAATCGCGTGTATTACTTGAAGTTTGTTCAAATCTAAACTTGCATCAGATCATAACTGTGCCTACACGGATAACTGACAACACGCAGACGTTGATAGATGTAATTATTACTTCAAACCGAAACTTAATATCGTCTAGCGATGTGTTGCTCTCATCCATTAGTGACCACAGTTTACCATATGCTGTACTAAACTTGAAGAGTCCCAGGTGTAAACCTACCTATGTGACAGTACGCAGTTTTAAAACCTACTCCAAGGAATTGTTCGTGAATGATCTCTCACTTGTACCATGGCACATAGTTGATACTTTCGACGATGTAAATGACAAACTTGACGTTTTTAACAAATTGTTCATGGATGTGTTGGACGTTCATGCTCCTGTTAAGCGTATTAAATTAAAATCAAGACCTAACCCGTTTGTAACATCTGAAATTCGGGCCCTAATGAAAACTAGGGATACGTGGCATCGGAAAGCGGTAAGGTCCAATGATAACCGCGATTGGAATGGTTACAGATTTTTCAGGCAGGAAGTGAAGAAAGAATTAAGAGCTGCAGAGAAAGAATATGTACGTAGCGAGTTGACTTTAAATTCGGGAAACTCGAGATCATAATGGAAAACAATTAACAAATGTTTACCTCGTAAATCATGTTCTTCTACACACGAGTTAAACTCTGTAAAGTTGGGGAACACATTTAACGAATATTTTACCTCCCTTGGAAGTTCCATTGCTGCTGAAACTTGTGGGATTGCGACCGATTTTAACTTGGAAGCAACTTGTCCACAACGCTCTACAACCCCTCCGGAAACGCAGTTTTGTTTTCGTGAAGTCTCCGAAACAGAAGTCGCAAATGTGGTATCAAACTTACCTGCCAATAAAGCTGCTGGTCCTGACAAATTACCAGCTAGAGTGATAAAAGATGGCCTGTCTGTTATTCTGTCTACGATAACCAGCATGATAAACTGCTCTTTTACCACCAGCAACTTTCCACAGGAAAGGAAAATCGCAGAGGTCATCCCTATCCCCAAGTTAGGAGATAAAGAGTTAGCATGTAATAACCGCCCAATTTCATTGTTGCCAGTTATGTCTAAAATCTGCGAAAGGCTGGCTCACGGTCAATACAATAACTTCCTATGTTCCGAAGGTAAACTCTCTGCGCATCAAAATGGAAACAGGAAATTACATTCAACTGAAACAGCCTTACTCAAAGTTACTGACGATATTTTGAAAGCAATGGACGAAAAATTGATTACCATTATGGTCCTAATTGATTTTTCGAAAGCCTTCGATAGCATCAATCATGAAACTCTATTAAATAAATTATGGAATATTGGAATGGCTCCAAGTGCTTTGAAATGGTTTTCCAGCTACTTGACAAATAGATCTCAAAAAGTACGTTTGGGAGAGTTTCTATCGCAACGACTCCCACTATCTCACGGAGTACCCCAAGGATCTATTTTGGGACCTTTGATGTTTACTGTGTATGTCAACGACCTACCATCGTCAGTTGTTAACTGTAAGCCGGAGTGTTATGTTGACGATAGCAAGCTTTACGTTAGTTTTGTTTTACATGACCTGGTTTCAGCTATAGGCCAAATCAACAAAGATCTTGACCAGTTATGTTCTTGGTGCTGTGGCAACTCCCTCCTAATCAACCCTGAGAAAACTAAAGTTCTCGCCTTTGGTACTCGTCAGCGCCTACAACAGCTACCAGGTTTCTCCATTAAACTTCTGTCCAAACAAATCGAACCTACTCGTGTTGCTAAAGATCTTGGCGTTCACTTGGATTCATGTCTTTCGTATACACATCATGTTGATAAAACAGTATCTTCGTGCATGTACTCATTATTCCAAATAAATCGCGTCAAACACCTTTTAGATCGAAAGACCCTTTTACTTGTTATACACTCTTTAGTTTTTAGTAGATTATTCTACTGTTCTTCCGTATGGAGCAACACTTCTAAAGGAAATGTAAAAAAGTTGCAACTTGTACAAAACTTTGCTGCTCGTATTGTTGTTGGTTTACGGAAATATGATCATGTTTCTCCTGCCCTGAAAGAACTCAAATGGCTGAATATTACAGACCAATTGTATCTCCGAGATGCAGTGCTTGTTTTTAAATCGCTACACCATCTGACTCCATATTCTCTGTCAGAAAAATTTAAAAGAAATTCCGAGGTGCATTCCAGAGTCACGAGGAATGTTAATGACTTACACTTGCCACTTTTTCGCCTTGTTACGGGACAGCGAACGTTTAGTTTCAGAGGGGCAAAATTGTGGAACTCGCTACCGCCGGAGATTAAATCCGAACAGTCATTGAAGTCTTTTAAACATAAACTTCACAAACACTTTCCGACTTCTTAAATTACATTTATATAACTAGTTTTTAATTGATTGTAAATATATTTTTAGAATATCTGTACTATATTTAAATAATTTATTGTATTGTATTGTATCACTGAAAAACCCTTTCGAGGGAGGGATATGTAATAAAGCTTATGAGTTTATGAGTTTAAAAAGATAAAGCACAGCCTTATCGGCACATAAGGGTAATTTTGAGGCCTCCATGACCATTTCCCACCAAGGGAAGGCTGAATTAAATTGGTGGTTAATAAACCTAAAGAATTCTCACAAAAACTTTCTTCTAACCCCAATTGACATGGTGCTTTACTCAGACGCCTCTATGACCGGTTGGGGTGCAGCCCTGGGGGAACAATCCACAGGTGGAAACTGGTGCCAACAGGAGACTGAACTCCATATAAATGTACTTGAAATGAAAGCAGCTTATTTTGCTCTAAAATCATTTGTCTCAAAACTAACAGGCAAACATGTTAAACTTATTCTGGACAACAGTACTGCAGTGTTTGTAATTACTAACATGGGCACCAGCCACAATGAGGTGCTGAATAGAATTGGTGTTGAAATTTGGGAATTTTGCATGACTAACAAATTGAAACTTACCGTAGCTCCTTTACCTGGGTCAGATACCATCATTGCCGACAAAGAATCTCGCCATATTTATTGTGAAGCTGAATGGATGTTAAATTCATGTCACCTCCAAACAGCAATAAAAAGATTTGCCTTTAAACCAGAAATTGATTTATTTGCATCCCGCATAAACAAACAGTTCCCCAAGTACTGCTCATATCGGCTTGACCCAGAAGCAATGCACATTGATGCTTTCTCTATTTCTTGGAGCACGCTAAATTTCTACTGCTTTCCCCCATTTAGCTACATTTTGCAAACAGTTCAAAAGATTATACAGGAAAAAGCCATATGCATCCTGGTAATCCCAAACTGGCCAACACAACCCTGGTACCCTCTCATTGCACCCCTTCTAATGCAACCTCCTCAGGTCTGCCCACCATCGCAGACACTCCTTCAACTTCCAGCTGCTCCAGCAGAGTCACATCCACTTGCCAAAATGTTAGAACTGAAAATATGTCTTGTATCAGGCAACAACTCACCACAATAGGTGTCTCACAGAAATCAGCTGAAATCATTATCGCATCTTGGAGAAAAGGGACTAAATCTCAATATCAAACATAAATTAACAAATGGAGCCAATTTTGTCGTACCTCAAATTGTGACTTTTTTGACCCTCAAATCACTAAAATTGTGGATTTTCTAACAGATCTATTTCATTCAGGTTTGTCTTACTCAGCCATAAATTCTGCACGCAGTGCCCTGTCTGCACTTTGTCAAACAAACAATAACACAATTCCTTTTGGTCAACACCCTCTGGTAAAACGCTTCATGAAGGGTATTTTCAAACTAAGACCTTCCTTCCCACGATACAAATCTATTTGGGATGTTAATATTGTTTTTAATCATTTGAGAAATCAACCGATAGTACACAAACTGACATTAAAAGACCTTACTATCCAAGTAACATTTCTACTGTTACTTCTCAGCGGGCAGCGATGTCAAACAATCCACCTTCTAAATCTGGACAACATGAATTTATCTATAGATAAATGTGAATTTGTTATTCGAGAAAAGGTTAAACAAACGCGGGTGGGACACCATATAGAACCTATTATGTTTGACGCGTATCCAGATGAACCATCCCTGTGCATTATAACACACCTCAAGGAGTATCTCGAACGGAAAAAAACATTACGAAGCCCTCATTGCAACAAGCTCTTGATCAGCTTCATCAAGCCTCACCATGGAGTGTCACGCGAAACCATCTCACGTTGGTGGAAAACATTACTATCCTCTGCGGGTATTAACACAAAAGAATTCGGAAGTCATAGTACCCGATTTGCATCTACGTCATATGCTGCACATAAATTAGGGGATATAACTCAGATACTTGAATCAGTTGGTTGGTCTAATGCCACCACGTTTCAAACTTTTTATAATAAGCCTATTCGGTCTCCCTTTAATCTGGGATCTGCTATTTTGAACTTTAGTGCAAGTAATCAAGGCACCTTTGTTATTATGTATAAGTTACTGTTTAATAGAATTATGTACAATAATTGTTGCGCTTAAATTTTGTTGTGTTGTTACTCTGTAACATAAAACCTGACTCCATTGTTCCCTGTGAAATCTCGTACAACTCTGACACGACCCTAGCTGATGACGTAGTAGAATTTAAAAATTAAACGAGACTTACCTGTAAGGTGAAGTTTGATTTAAATTCTACAAGTCATCAGCGGGGAGTGGAGGAGTTGTACGCCAAACCCTTCTTTGTTTTTTAATTCCCACCCCAACTCTTCCACTTCAACCATGGATTCAGGTTTGACTTTGAAATCTGACTATCTCGCGCATGCGTATGCTCTCTCTCGTACAACTCCTCCACTCCCGCTGATGACTTGTAGAATTTAAATCAAACTTCACCTTACAGGTAAGTCTCGTTTAATTTTTAAATTAAAATATCATGATTATGAATTAACATTCATTCCTATTACTACAGTATTACTTCGAAGACATCGAATTTTTCCAATAAATAAACCAAACTATCATATGTTAATATATTGTACTTTATACTTTGTAAGTAAACACCATGTATTAATACGTTTAAATTTCGCATTTAGCAATTCTTTTACAGCTCATAACCAACAGAAATGTATTCACTAACCTTCAAATTACAACCAGCAGCCGCGGTTTGTAATTTGAATCGTTCGTTTGTGAAAAATAGTCGATTTATTCAGCCAAATGGCCATTCTGCAATACAAATCTTTAATAAATTGACTGGCTTTACTGGCTGCGAGTAATTAGAGCGGGCAATTTCCGGTATGCGCGAGGCGACATGCGCGGCTTCAAAAACTTCAAAGGTTCCGATGCGAGTTGCCCTTCTATTCACTTCTTATTCTATGCCCAGAGCCTTCGTTTCCTTCCCAAGGATCACAGGCTCGGGGAAGGAGATTGAACCCATATATCCTTCTCTTCCCTTATAAGTGATAGCTTATACTTGTAAATATTGAAATATATTTCGCGGTTATTTCGGCAGTTTTTATTGAAATTTTTCAGCATAATCAGCAATACGATACCTTACTTCCCATCTCCCCTGCACGTATAAATTAAAAGCTGGTATTGCCTATAGTTATTGTCCCGTGGGACATCACAAAAACCTTTTTCGCGTTTAACACTTTAACGTCATTGTGAGAAAGGTGTATTAGTTAGGGCATCGAAGTAAAAGATTTTAAATTTGTGATCTTTGCATCTCATCTCGGCCCATTCTCGTCCCTCACTCGGTCACTCGTTCAAAGTTAGGCTCTGGGTTAGACAACTAAAGGGAGAGATCTGATTGGCTTCTCAGAGAACTGCTATTTCGCAGAAGTTGAGCAGTTTTCGGTAGGCAAAATTATCCTATCAACATATGTCAACACAAATACTTCGTTTTTTCGTAATACTTCACTTTGAACATTGTTACGGGTGCTAAAGCATCCCAAATCAAGAGCATGCGCTTTAGAAACTGCTGCAAGTTTTATTGCGGACCAGAATAATCTCGACCGGGAATTCGAGTTTTACTCTGGTAGTCTGGAGCTGCTCTGTTTCGGAACCAAACTTTTCATGTGCTGTTTAGATCATATATTGAAATTTTACGATTTAGGATGAGTAATTAAGTTCGGCGCCTGAACTAACACAAATGCGTTTGTCAGTTTGGGTCGTCGAATCAGTTGGTTTGCCTAAATTCGAATTTAGTCCGGCTACTTAAAAGGTGCCACGTACCATTCATAAACGCTGCGACGTTGTTTCTTTGGAATTTGTTATTTCGGGCTCAAGAAGGGACGCTCATTAGAAAACTGCCAAATTAAACTCTGAAACAACCTGGGCGCAGCTAACATGACGCTCCGCAGGAAAGGGAAAGTCTGATTGAAATATGAAAAAGAATACCGGTGGATGTGGAGTTGAATAAAATGCATCTGTTCTCGTGATTCTTTGATCGTGAAACAAACAACTGCACACAAAATTACTGCATAAACTAAGCTAAAGTAAATTAAGAGTAGTACATGTGCAATTGGGTACCTCCTACGCAGGCCATATAGCGCGTAATGAGTATGCCCGTTCGCAAGTTAAATTTGAAATTTGAGACGAAGGCTTGCGTGCCAATTGGTTAATGTCTGATGCATCCAAAGGTAGAGACCATGTATCAACACTATTGCTTACATTTTTACAACCATTTATTTTAAGGATAATAGTATATTTGCTGGGTTGCAATAGTAATAGAATAAATTATTTCAGTGAACAGTAGCCTGCGTTAATGCTGGTTCTTTGGGGCGTTGTGAAAACCCGGAATGGCGGAATATCACGGAATATGGCGGAATATCACGGAATATGGCGGAATATCACGGAATATCACGATATTTTCCCGGAATATACCGGAACATCACAATATTTTCTGATGGTAGCTATGCGACTGTTTATAAATATGGACGTCTGACAACATATTTTATTACAAAAGTGGTGGATCCTTCCCATTTTGACGGTAAGTAACAAACAATAACTCTATACTGGAAGTTTTATATGTTTTTATGTCATTACTACGTGTGTTCACCAAAAAAATTAAATCAATATGATTAATTCCTCCCTGAGTTACAGCGTCTTGAAAAATAAAAGTGTTGACGTCAGCATTATTTTCGAACGCCTTCAGAACTGTGTTAAGGCGGATTTCCAGTCCTCGCACGAAGCTCCTCGCAGCTCGCTGCGAGTGCTTACATCTAATCAAAATTAACTGTTTAGCATTGTGATTGGATGAAAGTGCTCATGCATGCACTCGCAGCAAGCTGCGAGGAGCTTCGTGCGAGGG